AGAACTGGCGGTCAGTTTCAGCAGCGGCTGAATCTGGACGCCAGTTCCAATTTACATACAGATTCAACTTAAGAACAAACCAACTGTCCCTATCTTGTACGTAACCCGGGGACTGCCTGTATAAGATTTGGAATTATTCTTTTACTAGCTATTTTTGCCTGATGACCCTCTGCTTCCTATTTGTAAAGCTTAGATGTATATCACTGAGCAGTATGAGGATTGAGTTCTTTCTGTAAAGTGCTTTGAGCTTCTTGGATGAAAATCACAATATAGTGCAAAATATTGTTCAGTATAATATGATATGGTTTCAAGATTCTTTATGCTATCTTAACAAATACAGAGCTTGTCAGAAAAGAGCCGGGAATTAGATAAGCTGAGAAGTGAATGGACGTCACAAACAACAACACTAACAAATAAGCACCGTCAGGAATTGACAAATGAGAAGGAAAAAGCTCTCCAGGTAGGACAACTGAAGGAAAAACACAACTATTGATATACCATTAGTAATTTTTTAGTTTAAGGTTAGGTTCATTGACACACTTCCTTTGATTTCCAATTTTTCTTCACTATAGTTGCAGACTCAGTACCAACAACAACATGAACAGCAAAAAAAGGAAATGGAAAGCATGCATCAGAGAAGTATCCAACAGCTACAAACTCGACTCTCAGAACTAGAGATTGCCAACAAGGACCTAACAGAGAGACGATACAAAGGAGACTCTACAATTAGAGAACTTAAAGCAAAACTTTCTGGAATAGAAGATGTATGGAATGTTTAGTATTTTCAAATCATATTTGAATAGGGGTAACACAATCAGTACACTCTTGCAATAATAGAGCGTGATAATTGAAAATGCAGAAAGTATTCAGGTTGTGGGAATCCATGCTTCAGGTTCTAAAGTCTTAATTTTTACTATTCTTTTGTATTGTCTTATTTATATCCTTGGTTAAGAGTTAGATATATGTATTCAAAATGAAGGTATTGCAGTGTTTTTTTTTTTTGTTTTTTTTTTTCTTTTTTCAAAATATTTTTTCCAAACATTCTAGGAGTGCCAGAGAGCAAAGCAAGAAGTATTGTCACTGCGTCGGGAGAATTCTACCCTGGATGCTGAATGCCATGAAAAAGAGAAACACATTAATCAACTACAAACACGAGTTGCTGTTTTGGAACAAGAGATAAAAGATAAGGACCAGCTAATTGTTAGGACAAAAGAAGTATTAGATGCAACACAAGAAAAAAAGGTTTTGTTAAGTTTTTATATATCCTATTTCTAAAGTACTTTAGAACACTGCTTGATTGCTATTCACAACTGTGTTATTTTGGATTACCAGATTTTGAGAACTGGTAAATAGATGATCAACTATTATTTAAAAAAATTAAGATTACTGCAATACAAGATATATTTGACTCATTTTAACAAATGTTATTTAGTTAAAATACTTCCTAGTCCAACAGTAAATGCATATTATATTTTGTAAAGGTAATCTTTTACTACTAGATATTTGCTGACATGAGAGACAAAATTTTTCTGTGTTTATTTGAAAACTGGATTGGTGATGGTTCTGCTAGTAGTATCTCTATGGGTGCTCCCCTTCAGTTGTGCATGTGCATCGTGCATCTTCTATTGCAGATTTTAGAGATCAGTGCCTGTTTGGCCCATACATGCTACTTTGCCTCATGCTCTGCATTGTGGCTGTATAGAACTTCAGGAGCAGACTGCCTTCAGTTTCTTTTCAGCTGCTTTGGCCTAAAATAAGATCAAATTGGACATTTCTGAGGCTGTATCTCAACTAGGATTTTTTTCTTAGTTTTACTTAGCTAGTTGTACTGATAGTAATAAATAATTATTTTTATTGTTAGTAAGGAGTGTTGTCCTTTTCAGGTTTTTTCCCCCCTGCAGGGAACTTTAGGTTGCTGAATAGGTGTACCCAGTTCTGTGTTTTAAATGTTTGCTTTCATGCTGGGAGCCCATCCTGTTGAGTGATGGGCACTCCCAGTCCATCTATTGCTTTGGGAAGTCACACATCCCCCAAAAGTGTACACCAAAGTCGTTGCTCAATTTGCCTGAGTCCAGGGTATGGCGTCAGATGTTCTGGCCTGATTCAGAAGCTGGATGCTATGCCCCAAAAATTACACTTGAAAATGATATTGGGGATTTCTCATTGACTTCTTAAATTTTGGGTCAGATTTCCTCTCCACACTATCAGAGAAGTATTTTTACATACATGCTAGGGAGATGGAATATATTCAAGACATGAATATATTTCAGATTCCATCCCAGTGGTATGAGCCATGGATGCCTCCACCTATATCCCATGGGCTCTCTCAATTGCCATATTAGGACACATGGGTGGCATACTGCCACAAGTCTTTAGGGCTCCTAGCATCATTCATCTACCTGATAGGGAGAGACTTTTGAGGAGCAAGACAGTAAAGCAAACAAGATGGTCCTGCTAACATCATCTTTCCTTCATTCCCAGGTAAATCATTTATGACTCCTTAACTGTCCCATGCTGATGACTTCAAACAGTTTCAGGATTTCACTGAAAGGATAGTAGACTATTTATAAACAAACTTTAGGAGGCTAAGGAATCACAGCGTAAACTGCTAGATAGTCTGCATGCAGCATCATTTGTCTGAATTGCACTACCTATTAATGAGGTTCTCCTGGCTTATGCAGAAGTAATCTGGCATACCCTAGCAATAATACGGTCCCATGAAGTGCAGCATCCATAGGGACCACATCTTGAACGACAGTGGATACGCAGAAGGAGTAAACCTTTCCTAATGCAAATTAACTAACTAGCTTGATCTAAACCAGATTTAAGCATTTGTACTTTGGTTCTAAAAAAAATGTAACTTGCTAATGGAAAGCTTTGCTTATTTGTTTTGAAGGTGATCCTGGAAGAAAATACAGAGAAGAAACAAGTTCATGTAGGAAAGCTTGAAGCAACAATAAAGTCATTATCGGCTGAACTTCTTAAGGTTTGTGTAAACATGAAAGTATCCTTATGGGATTTCTTCATTTAGTTTTAGGAATTGTTTACTTTAGAAATGACTCTGATGTTGTTTAATAGGCTAATGAAATTATCAAGAAGTTACAAGGAGATTTGAAAACGCTCATGAGTAAACTGAAATTTAAAAATACAGTAACAATTCAGCAAGAAAAACTCTTGGCTGAAAAAGAAGAGAAACTACAGAAAGAGCTGAGGGAACTACAGGAGACTGTACAGTCTCTGCGAGTAAAAGAGCAAGAGGTAATATGCATTATCTAAAGCTTTAGTGCTGTAACCACTTAGGTATGTGTTTAATGTTACACACATGTTTAAGTGTTTGCGGGATTAGTCTTGATTTGCTGTCTAGATAACTAAATGATTTTACCCATTTATGAAATGTTTGAAATGTTTTATTGAAACATAGAATTCTGGCAAATGTTGTTTTTGTGGTTGATTATAGCTTAGAGGGAATAGACAGTTGAAGAAACCTCTCAAATTTTAGTAAAAGTGCTACCCTTGACAAATTGTTGAAGTGCAATACAAATAAATTAGCTAAAGTAATTAACTTAATTGTTTGGATCAATATTCTTTTGACTAAAGAGACATTGTCAAATTTTAAAAAGTCTTTAAAATATAAAGAGATTTTCTTGTATTAGATAAAACATGAAATACTTTAAACAAAATCTAAGTTTCTCCCACTGTTTATGCTTTGTTTGCTTTTGATATTTTATTCAGCTTCAAGAATGAAAACACTGGTCTGTTAATTTTAAACATGCAATAGAACCAGAAAGTCAACACCCCTCTCCCCCAAAAAAAAAAACCAAACAAACAAAAAAAACCTCACTATTTTAATAAATGTGGTTTGGAACAGCAAACTTCATGTCTGGACTGAACTTCAACTCACCCTAGAAGTGGATTCAGGGCCATTTCAGATTTCAGTTACTATTAGGGTTAGCAAATGTTTAATCAAAGCTGCTTCCTATAATGAAAACTCTTTATCTTGCTACCCCTATAAACACAAATAGAAAGGATATTACATTTGCATAGGGCCAGAGTTTACAGAGTACAGAATGTTCAGTGCATACAAGTGAGTGTACAGAGCTCTGAGTAGAAACATATTTCTGAAGGGTAGAAACAGGCAAAAGTTGAGAGAAACTTTCAAAGGCATAATTATGGACCTTATGCCAACTGACATTTCTTGGCATTGATATCAATGCCAGAGAAATAAGGATCTTTTCTTTATGTATTCACCTCCAGCCCCCTTTGTACTATTATTCATTTTGAGTCTAAGTCATCTGTCAGTGTTGCTTTAAGATCATGTGTTCTACATCCTTGATATTTATTTACATTATTATTTTCTTCCGTAATTAATTATTGATCTTTTCTGAATATGCTTGGCATAATTAGTATGGAAATATTTCAGGTATGCAAGTTGCAAGAACAGTTAGAAACTACAGTACAAAAACTGGAAGAAAGCAAACAACTTCTAAAAACGAATGAAAATGGTAGGTTTACAGGATTCTTTCTTTAGGTCTCTGGCTCTTAGAATGCTGTTAATACAAAAACAATCTTGAAGCTAGAAAAATTGCTCACTTCTGCATGTTTTTGTATTAACAGCATTCTATCTTGAAGCTAGAAAAATTGCTCACTTCTGCACATTTGTGGTTTCCTTCCCCTTTCACAGCCCATGTAGTATTGTAGCTCTAACTTGTTTGTGGTGGTTCTTTGCATAAAACAGAATTTTCCTTAGAATGTTGTGTTACAGTTTAGAATTTGAGAGAGTTTACGTTGCAATTCTAAATTTAAGTTATATGACTGCATGATTGTAAACCAGAATTGCATAACGAAGATACAGATTGATGCTTTGAAAACATAGGCTCCAATCCTGCATCCTACAATATACTTAACTTTATAATAGGTAAACAGTTTTATTGAAGTCAGTGGGAAAGCTTAGATGCTTAAAGTTTGTTTGTAAATGTCTTACTCCTTTCTGGGGCATAATCCAAAGCATGTTGAACTCAGTAAATTGAAATCCAGCTCTGTAGTCTCCTAATTATTAAATGCTTACCTTCCTTTATGAGTTATGATTAATATGCTGTTGCTGGTCTATGAAATTCTAATAGGCTATAATTAAATTTGAAAGATGTCTATGGTCTTCGTTATCTCTGAGAGCACTCAGATAGCACTGGCTGGGGGGATGGGGGTGGGTGGG